GGGTCAGTAGGGGGCCCCATGAAATGCCCCTGGTACCTTTTTTATAGACCTTTTTGAGTGTGGGCAAGGACATAGGAGCCCCATGATCCCCTATTGCCCGGGGGCCCCATGAGTTGTCAGTCTGCCCCTGGTCCACACCACTTGAAGTAAACCTAGTTTTATGCTCAACAAACTACCTTTGGGAACTGAAACCTGGTAAGGGGTAGGCAGGCTGAGCTTTTGGACTTGCTGCGTTTAAATCCCAATACTGTGTTTATTTATGTTATTTGGAGAGGTTTTCTGTTAACATTAATGAAAAGTTGAATAATGCCTAAAGAGACCCTGTCACCACTTGTTACTTTGCAAGTAAGCTACGCGTTGACAAATTACATTTAAATGAATAATTGTTTCTGCTCTTACTTTGTTTTACATTTGCCTTTTCCATACATTTTACCCTTTTTGAAATAGTGTTAAAAGTATACTTTCTGGAGGTGTGGAAATCCTATCTGTGGTATATAGACAGTTCTTTGGCCACTCAGCCTGGTGCTGCTCATCAAGTCAGCGACAAAGCTATCTGTCCTGGAATGCGCATAGCGGCAGGTTGACCGATCTCTCTCTTTTTCATCTCCAACAGCAGCTCTGCAGAATCCATTAACAAGGTCTACTGGGTGCAGCTGACATGACAACAAAAATGTCACATCCCAGCTACATACCATTTACACCATACAAAGGGAAAACAGATATCTAATATGCAGTATTATCATTCAACAATTATTTCATAATTCAAAAAAACTTTCAGTAAAGTGTCTTACACAGATCCAAAAGTATCTATTCAACCTCACCTTTCAATAAAGTTTAGGAGCTGTACACCACTTCCTAAAGGTACAATCAATTTTATTGGTCAGCTCAAGCACAGAAAGTCTACCCAGGAACCCCCCCTAACATGTTTTGCATCTTACTGAGGCTTAATCATAGAACAAGAGGATGGCAGGGAGGGAGGAAGATCAAGGCCTTTACACTTGCGGTTGGGGCATGGTAAAAACACAGGGTTGAGATGCATTACAAAGACACTGAACACTTACACATGAAAATGATCCCCCGGTTGCACTCAGCATGCAGTATGGTCCACTGAACACTACCCATTCACTTGAATGGAACTGCGCCAAAACTGCAAAAGTCATGCGTTTTTTCCAGGGTTAAAACAGATGGTGAGAAGGCGACATAGCAACTTCTCACCGCCTGTTAAGCACCCTCTGAAGACCAATTCACTGTGGATTGCTCACAGTCAAGTGTAAACGAGTCCACATACCACATTCTCAATGTTAATTATAATTTAGTACTTAAAGGTATATTAATGTGGAAGTCCATCCTATTCCTATCTAAGCTTAAACCTGCTTCCACCCCCCTTCTAAACCCTGTTTATCTACCCTGTGAAAGGAAGATGTGTATACTTACATATTCTAAGAGTGATCCATTTCGGTCACATGAGCTCTTCAGCGGCTGGATTCAGTGAAGAGAAGGGATTGCCAAGCCTGGGCGCTGATGTCACCCATGGGCTTACTATGGGGCATCCACTTTCGGCTATCCCACCTCTATACTGAAGCCACCGCTGACAGCTATAATAGAATGGGTAAGTATACACATCTTCCTTTGACAAGGTAGATGGAGAAGGGTTTAGAAGGGCAGGGGCGGACTGACAACTCATGGGGCCAATGAAAGGTACCAGGGGCATCTCATGGGGCCCCCTACTGACCCTGGGCCCTTGGGCAGTGCCCGAGTGCTCGAATGGTCAGTCCGCCCCTGAGAAGGGAGATGGGAGCAGATTTAAACTTAAGAATAAGCTGAACTGATACTTTAACCTCTCATTGATATAATTAAAACTACACGTTGTATTCCAATCATTACCAGACATTCCATTATACTCAGTGGCGTATTTAAGTTTTGTGCTGCCCTAGGCAATACAAAAATTGTCTGCCCCAACGGACACCGATCAACACCCCCTCCCCCTCCTGTGGAGAGATCCTGACACTGACCAACGACCAACAACACCCCTGCACCCCACTCGGAGGAGCCTTCTACTACCCCCCTGCCCTCCGTGATGGAGAGAAAGATACTCATCTTTAAAGCTCCAGACATCCCTGGGAACGGGAGTCAGGCTCTACATACACCATCAAGCAGCCCACAGCCTCTCGTGGATCCCACCTGGTTCCCATAGTACGCATGTCCCTTCTTTCATCCCTTATTCTGGGGGGAGGTGCTGCCCCCCTAGGGAAGTGCCTTGTTTTCCTTGTGGTAAATACACCCCTGATTATACCCATATATCTCCCACGAAGGTAAAATTGCCGTATTTACTAAAAATGTTTAAAACAGAAAAAAAAAACCAATCTTTTTACATTGCAAACTGAATATTATGCAGGATATTTAGAATGTTTCAAAAATGTTATATTTCTTTACCTTTTTCAAAACACTTTTCCATATTTAAATACTAATAATTAAAATATATCTCTTATCTTTTCATCAGAAATCAGAATGCTATTATTAGTAGGAGGCGAAACATGTTAGAGGGAGGATCCTAGGTGGGCTGCGTTTGAGTTGAACAATAAAGTTGATTTTATACCTTGGGAAGTGGTGTGTGGTTCCAGAACATCTCTGAACTGCATGTGGGATAAAAGGACCCTGGGCACCTACGAGCTGAAGTTGCAGACTGCAGAGGTCCTAGAAGAGGCTTCATCTTTTGTGAGTGCTCTCACCCTTACCATTAATCAACAAAGCACACCTCAATGCACTGTTTAACTAGTTGCCGACCGCAGATAGCCGAATGACGGCTTCACTGCGGCCGGCCAGTTCTGGGTGGACGTCATATGATGCCCCCCCAGAATGCGCTCTCCTGCGCACCCGGCGATCTCCGTGATCGCTGTGTCCTACGGACACAGCTGATCACGTGATGTGGTAAAAGGCCGATCCCAGCGGCCTTTTACCACGTGATCAGCGGTGTCCAATGACACGCTGATCACAGGGAAATGCAAGTGCCGGTTCTCGGCTGCACTTTCCTCACGCTGTCAGATCGTGAGGAAAGTACTGCCGAGAACCGGCAGTTGTCACAGCGGGGATCGGCACCGATCATCAGGACACTGATGATCAGTGCCCTGATGATCGGTGCCCAGCAGTGCCACCCGCAAGTTCCGCCCACATGTGCCCAGCAGTGCGTCCACTAGCTCCGCCCACCTGTGCCCAGCAGATCACCCACCTGTGCCCAGCAGTGCACCCACCTGTGCCACTCTGCAGTGTCACACACCTGTGACCAGAAGTGCCACCTACCTGTGCCCAGAAGTGCCACCCACCTGTGCCCACCCACCTGTGCCCACCAGTGCCACCCACCTGTGCCCACCCACCTGTGTCCACCCACCAGTGCTGCCCACCAGTGCCACCCACCAGTGCAGCCCAGCAGTGCTGCCAGTCAGTGCCACCAGTCAGTGCCCAGGGGTTGTGCCAGTCATTGCCGCCAGTCAGTGCCCAGCAGTGATGCCAGTCAGTGCCGTCTATCAGTACCCATCATCAGTGTCACCTATCAGTGCCGCCTATCAGTGCTGCATATTAGTGCCGCCTATCCGTGACACCTCATTAGTGCTGTCTATCAGTGCCGCCTATCCGTGCCACCTCATTAGTACTGCCTATCAGTGCCCTTTAGTGCTGCCTATCAGTGCCCATCAGTGCTGCCTATCAGTGCCCATCAGTGCTGCCTCATCAACGCACATCAGTGAAGGAGAAAAAATACCTGTTTGAAAAATTTTATAATAGAAACAAAGAAAAAAAATTTTTTTTTTCAAATTTTTTGCCATTTTTTTATTTATAGCGCAAAAAGTAAAGCGCCCAGTGGCGATTAAATACCACCAAAAGAAAGCTCTATTTGTGAGAAAAAAATGATCAAAATTTCATATGGGTACAATGTTGCATGACCGCGCAATTGTCAATCAAAATGCGGCAGCGCTGAAAGCTGAAAATTGGCCTGGTAAGGAAGGGGTATAAGTGCCTGGTAGGCAAGTGGTTAATTGGGCAACTATGTGACAAATGAGGTTTAATGTTGATAAATGTAAATCTATGCACTAGGGGGCTAAGAATATGCATTCATCATACATACTAGGGGGGGGTACAACTGGGGGAATCAATGGTGAAGAAGGATCTGGGGGTTCTGGTAGATCACAAGCTTAATAATGGCATGCAATGCCAAGCTGCAGCTTCTAAAGTGAGCAAAATCCTCTCTTGTATTAAAAGAGGTATAGACTCCAGAGAGAGAGAGATATCATATTACCCCTGTACAAATCATTAGTAAGACCTCATCTGGAATATGCAGTTCAGTTTTCGGCACCAATTCACAAAAAGAACATTGGGGAACTGGAGAAAGTACAGAGAAGGGCAACCAAACTGATAAGAGGCATGGAGGAGCTCAGCTATGAGGAAAGATTAGAGGAACTAAATTTATTCTCTCTTGAGAAGAGGAGAATAAGGGGGGATATGATCAACATGTATAAATACATCAGTGGTTCATATACTGAACTCGGTGTAGAGCTATTCACCCTGAGGTCATCACAGAGGACAAGGGGGGCACTCTTTACGTCTGGAGGAAAAGATATGTAATCTCCAAACACGGAAAGGTTTCTTCAGTAAGAGCTGTGAAAATTTGGATTAGACTCCCTCAAGAGTTTGTTCTGGCCAGCTCAGTGGATTGCTTTAAAAAAGGCCTGGATTGTTTCTTAGATACACAGAATATAACTGGATACTAACATTTATAGGTAAAGTTGATCCCGGGAATATCCGAGTGCCTCTCGGGGGATCAGGAAGGAATTTTTTTTCCCAGCAGGAGCAAATTGGGTCATGTTTTGCTGGGATTTTTTGCCTTCCTCTGGATGAAATGTGGATAAAGAATTATAACTTTTTTTTTTAATGGTTGAACTGGATGGATTTTGTCTTTTTTCAGCCAGACTAACTATGTAACTATGTAATTTAGTAAAATGATGAAATACCTGGTAATTTTTTTCCCAGAGGTACTGCAATGTTATATTTTCAACGCATTCAGCTGTACAGAGTTTACTTCCAAACACCTCTTGCAGCATATTGACAAGATACAAATGGTGCTCATGTTCCATGGCATAGAAGTGATTGAAGTCCAGCAATATAATCTCTTTGCTGTGATTGTTCAGAAAAGTGTTTATTTCCGTTAGTCCATCCCATACTCGTATTCCATATAAGCCATGTATAAAGTAGATCTCTCTTCCCTCCTCTGGCTTAGAAGACACACGTAGATCAAAATAGCGAATCCCAGATTCTAGTTGTTCTTTAAAAGTCAAATTCTGTGTAACAGACCATTTCTTCATCAGCTTTTTGACCAGAGAGAGTTTTGCTAAGCGCTTGATTGACGCTGCCTGATCTGGACCAACTGGAGATTTCTCATCAACCCAAAAACTGAACGAATCATGCGATCCTAAAATATGAAACAATATCTTAGTGCAATAATCAGAATAATCATGAATTCAAGCTGTTAGGCGTAAGATATCAAGATAACACGGTAACTATCTAAATGAGAGGATCTCAATTTTTCTGTGAATGAAAGTAAAAAAATAAAGTTGCTAAAGCTGAATTCTTGGGTCCCCTTTTCCTGATCGCTGGCAAATAAAACTTTTACTCACCTAAATTGTCACATCGAAGACTGAGCCTTCTATCTCCTTCTGTTTACAGGTGGTGGAGTCCTTTTTGGGTGCCTGTAGTAGCCTCCCTGGCGGTATTCCCGAGTGTAGCTCGGGGTAAAGTTTCAGTACCACAAGTGGTAACCCCGAGCTACACTCAGGCTTACCATGCGGCGCTGCTCCGGGATCCCTCGATCACTTACCTTGTCCTGCACTCCCGCGATGTCCCTCCTGCAGTGTCCCCGGCAATGTAATCCGGCGGATGCCGGCATCTGTCATCTGGGTTCTGTCCCCTGCGAGCGTCGGGACGTACGGGGGACGGAACAGTGGGAAATTTGAAAATGACAAAAAGTGACATTCACAAAAATCACATAGTAAAACATTACTGTATCAAACCATTTCACAAACATTTTGTCCCGAGTGCTTTGTCCTGTGCCCTGCCTGCATTTTTACTGTTCTTTCTACCTGGAAACTGAGAAATGTCCATGGCGTCCAAAAAGCGTCCCTTTAGGTCAAAAGCGGTTTTAGACCACCTAGAGAACAGCGATAGTAAATTAGAACTACTTGCAGAATTGAGTGATAATGATTTGTGGGGAAATTCGTCATCAGACACTGAAAATGATTCTGCGACTTTGCTCAGTGATGTGAGAACTTGGCGTTCTATTTCAAATTTCAGTGTTTTTGGTTTGATTATATTATTAAATTAAATATATTATTATATTATTATGTTTTATGATTATTTATTAAATTATAATTTATGATTTCGTGTTTCAAGTTTTATCCTACCCGGGATGTTTACTAGACTCTTGTTCAGACAGATTTCAGTGAGTTATTCCTAAGAATTACAGGCCTACAATATAAAACGCCAAATTTCCATGCAAAAAAATGGTACCGCTTTCAGCACCAAAAAATGAAATAATCATACCGCCAGGGAGGTTAAGTGGACACTTTCTATTGGCTTTCCAGAGCTGGACTCCTTTTGGGATTGAGACAAACGCATGCAGGTAATGTGAGGAGACTGTTGAAAAATGGCCAGCTTTGACACAACTGATGTGCTAGATTACCTGTCACCGCCAACCAGAAATGGCACTGGTGAGAGGCTAGTATGGTGAATTTAGGTGCGTATATAAAACACTACACAAGGTAATTAAAAAAAAAAAACTGCCCGCAGTCAGATATGCCCAGAAATTGGTCTTAATTCAAACAGATAAAAATGTGTCACAATGCAATATTAGTATAAACAATATTATATAAAAATGCCTGAAACTGATAGAAAAAATCTGGTTGCTAAGAACGACAAGACAATTTCTTGCACACTTTTCTATCTTCAACTCCAAAAAGGACACACAGACCACTTTAACAGGAATATCATAAAAAATGTTTTATATATAAAAGATAACTCTGATCTAATGGATATTTGTTGTGAGTCCTTATGATCATAATAGTATTGCCTCCGTGCCCTGTACAGCAGCCTTTCTTAGCTAGGTTGCTAGAGGTTCCTTGAGCAATGAACAATTTCTGCCTCCCAGATAAGTAACCATTGACAACAATGGTCCCTACTTTTTAGCTATCTGTAAGACCACCAGTGTAATGAGGTCCCTCTCTCAATTATCACTAATGTAAGTTGGTCATTCTCCCACTCAGGGCTTTTTTTTTTCAGCAGGAACATGGGAAAACGCAGTTCCGGCACCTCTAGTACTGAATGTATGTAATGCAAGGGGTGCTGGGGTGTGCTGTAGAGTCTATTGCTGCTGGCTACTGGGGGACCTATTGTTGCAGGGAGTCTATTGTTACTGGAACTGGATCTTTTGTTGCTGGGAGAGTCAGTTGTTGTTGGAAGGGATCTACTTTTGAGGAAGGAGTCAATTGTTGCTGGCTGCATAGAGATCTATTGTTGCTAGCAGGGGTCTGTTGTTTCTGGGATGGATCTATTGTTACATGGGGGTAATTTTGTTGTGAAGGGGTCTGTTGTAGCTATTTGACTGCATTTCTTGTTATTAACAAATTTCATAAAAATTACTTGTCATCACAAAATGATACTTGATCTGTATTCTCTAAAAGGGGAAGTACTGGGAGGTGGGTAGGGGATGGAATCAAGGGATGGTTCTCCAAGGTGGGTAAGCGTTGGAAACAAGGGTTGACTCAGATGTGGGGAGTACCTGCACCTAATCTTTGAGAAAAAAAGCCCTACTCCCACTGACTGCCTGTGTAGGGATAGCTACGATCCTTACTGAGTCATATATATATATATATATATATATATATATATATATAAAATAGAGGATGGCTATGTATTCTCCATTTGAAGCTTCTATCCATAACTTCATATATTTTAAGTTGTTGCAAGACACATATCTGGATTGTCATAATGCCATTAGGCGTGTGCGATACTCTAGGAGGGTTGTATGCCTTCCAATGTGGTCCCTTAATGTGATCTGTTGCTATTATTATTATAATTATTCAAGTTTCACTAAAAGAGAGGAACTTGGACAAGAGGTACTATCCTCCCTACATATGCCAATCTAAGGTGTGCCTTCTCCACCAACCACCAATGTAAGAGGACACTCTTCCATGATTATGAGTAACACTATTGAGAGACTACAAGTCCCAGAAGCCTTAGCGGCGGTCAGCTTGTAGTCCTCAATGAACTACCATGGCACTCCACAGCAAGAGGTGTCTGTTTATGAACCAGCAGTGATAGATCGCTGCTCAGTTCTCCAGCATTCTCGGAGAACACAGTTTTCCTGTGAATGCCGTTTATGAAGCATATGTAGATCAGTTCTCCAAACGAAGGGAGAACGGTCTACAAACGCTGGAAAACAGCTCATTTTACTATAATCTCGCGAGATTACAGTAAAAGATCAGTTTACTAAGCAGAGGTAAATTATCTCTGCTTAGTTTGTGGTCCCTCCGATTCTCCAGCTCTGGGCTGGAGAATCTGGAGGGAGAACACAGATCTCCAGTGAAGGGCTGACATGATCTCCTGGGTGTTATAAACTGTGAATGACCAGAGAATAGCTGCGATCCTCTGAATCACAGCTATTCTCTGTGTCGTAAAAGGACACCAGACTTCCTGCCAGTATATCTGCTTGCTGGTAGATCCCTTTAGGAGCAAGCAGACATTCTGACAGATCTGCAAGAGATCTGCATGGCACCAGCAGTCTACTGATCGCTGGTGCAATGCTTCCCAGGCTCCTGCAGACAAAAATAATAAATGCACATTTTTTAACCTGCAAGAAAAATGTGCATTTATTATTTTTTACTAAAAGGTGAACTTATCCTTTAAAGTGGTATTAAACCTGAAAACAAATATTTATTATTTTGCAGCTTACTAATCATTGTGTGGTGGCTGTATTAGTCTTTTTCTTTTTTAGGCTTTCTCTCTTTTATTTTCACCTGGTGATCCTGCCAGTAATATGTTGTTTTTCAACAGAACAAGATGTCCTGCAGATGAGCAAGTTAGATGGTTGAGACAAACCATTTACCACTGGCAGGGATGCTCACAATGATCAGATTTTATTTATGTGAAATCTTTATCTTAAAAGGAACAAAACCATTTCTGTAGCTGCTTATCACATTTTAGCTGGAGTTTGGCTTCAATTTGTTAGTGTATCTAAAGCTCAAACAAAGTGTTAATGTATCTAACACTCCCCTTCCCCCCAGATTGCCGACACTGCTGTCCAAAGGTGTCTCGGTTGCTTCTTCAACCAGTGTGGGGGCACCCTAATCCAGAAGGTGTGTTACTGGCCCGATCACCAGAGGGAACAACTAAAAAAAAAGGAAAACGAATACGGCTATCACATCTAACGATTGGTAAGCTGCAATTTAATAAATATTTGCTGTTGGGTTTAATACTGCTTTAAACTATTTGACACCCAGACCTGCTCTATATAACACAATCAGGGAGGGAGAGAGAGAAGCGAATATGAATCTCAGCAGCTGACACCTGCAACATGCTGTATCTGGACTTTCTCCTCTGTCACATCAACCTATTACCAGTATTGAATGGAAAATAAAGGGTAGAACAAGTGGAGCTACATTTAATTTTTTCCTGCCTCAGTTATAACATGTGGAGGATAAGCATTTATACATAGATGATTTTCTTTTTCTTTCTTCTTGTGTGATTGCAGACACATAATTAGTATTTTTATCACCGAAACAATTATTTTGTCTCTGGTTTTATCTGTTGTATGGTCAAAACAATCAAACAAGGCGTAGCAAAGATATTTATTTACAGCTCAGTTCTTTGTATTAATAAAACAAAAAAAGACCCTGTAATTATAGTCACATGGGCTGCTCAGATGTGATAAGGAGGAACTGCTCAATGCACTGAAACCTAAGCATGTGCAGTAGCTGCCAACACTGCTCTGCAAAATCCCCAACTGAATTGGGGACATGGACAGAAGGGGGAAATAGTGAACAGCAGAATCAACCAGGGTTTTGGAGAATAGAGAAACGAATCCCATTGTGAATGAGTGAGAATCAACAGCATGTAATAGAGCATTTATTGAAAGTATTTTTATGATGTGGGCTTAGTGATACTTTAAGCTGAACTCATTTAACTGCTTTCCTGCCACTCTATAGTAAAACTACTGCTACAGGTAATTGCTATTCCAACTAGGGGGCGCGCATGAGCGCTGCCCTACCCATGCCGCCACTGGCGGCTAGGGATGTCAATCGCTGGGTCCTAGCCGGAGATTCCCAGCCGACACTCGGTGATTGTCAGGGAAAGCTGACAGGGGAGAGACCTATGCGTAAACAACACAGGTCTTTTTCCTGTCAGCAAGGACATGCTGCTGTGTATTTCTCTGCACACAGCACAGCAGAGAAATACAGAGCAACATGTCTCCCTAGTAAAAACACACAGCACATCATGTAAAACAGCACACTGTTAACCCTTTGATCACCCCAGATGTTAACCCCTTCCTGCCCAATGTCATTAGTACAGTGTCAGTGCTTTTTATTAGCACTGATCACTGTATTAGAGTCATTGAGATGTCAGTGGCAGTTAGTCAGTTTCCACCCAGTGTCTGAATGCCCAGCGCAGTCCCTCAATAAGTCACTGATCACTGCCGTTACTAGTATAAAAAAAACAATTCCAGTATATATACCGCCATTTGTAGACGCTATAACTTTAATGTAAACCATTTCATTTACACGTAAATAAGTATGTCAGTATATTACTAAATATTAATACAATAAGTGATAAATATAAATGCCAAATTATACTTTCTCCCCTGAAAGTCACAAATATATGGTTTTAAGAGGGTAAGAGTAAGGTAAGAGTAATGTAGGCCATAGATGGGTCGAAAATCGGCCGATTTTTTGGCCGAAAATAAACTCGGCCGATTTTCGGATCGTTAGTGGGTTAATAGGTCGGTCGTTTTTCAGTATTTTGTCAGATTTTTTTTATCAGTAAAGTTTTAAAAAAATCGGCCGATTTTCGCGGCAATGATGGGCAAATCGTCCAATCTTTTTACCGATAAAAAATCTGCACATGAACAGTGACCTGCAAGAGGAATGGAAAAAGAAGAAGAGGTCGAAGAAGAAGAAGAAGAAGAGGAAGAAGAAGAAGATGAAAAAGTAGAAGAAGAGGAAGAAGAAGAGGATGAAGAAGAAGAGGAAGAAGAAGAAGAGGATGAAGAAGAAGAAGAGGATGAAGAGGAAGAAGAAGAGGAAGAAGAAGATGAAGAAGAAGAAGAAGAGGATGAAGAAGAAGAATTCCAGTCCAGCAAAAAGTTTCCCTGCAGAGAGCTCCGCTATTTCTTTGACAGTTCTTTGACATTTATAGCGGCTGCAACAATGTATCTATTTGTTTCCGAATAAAAACATCTGTATCCGAAATGGATACAAATAGATACAATGTTGCAACCGCTATAAATGTCAAAGAACTGTCAAAGAAATAGCGGAGCTCTCTGCAGAGACACTTTTTGCCGGCTGTAGACGGGATGAAAATTGGCCGAATTTTTTTACCGTTCCTGGTAACGTCAGCCGATTGAACGACCGATTTTTCATTTTTTTAAGGGAAAATCGGCCGGTTTTCTCCCCATCTATGGCCTGCATAAGGATAACAGAAGGTTAGACGTGGACACATGGTGGAGTGGAGTGATTTACAGATATTTGCACTAATTTTGTAAGTGCGTTGTTTGTATTGGAAATCATGCGTTTTGGATAATGCACTATATGCGATTTATTTTTTTGAGGGTATTAAGTGGAGGAAGAGGAGTTTATCACTTGTGAAAGAAAGAAGAATTTTCTAATAGAAGACATCTGCACAATTGTTTTTTTTTTTTACACAGAGATGCTGAATAAGAGTTGGACTATACAATTAATTTACACGTATTGGGATTTTTTTTTTTAGCAAAGACATGTAGCAGAATACATTTTGGCCTAAATTTGGCCTTATGACGGAATTAGATTTTTAAAAATTTTTTTACTGGATATGTTTTACAGCAAAAAGTAAAAAATATTGTTTTTTTTTTCAAAATTCTCGGTAATTTTTTTGTTTTATAGCACAAAAAATAAAGAATGCACTGCTGGAGATGAGCAGACATCTGGTGGAGGAATTGTGCACATTTCTTCGGTTGTAGCACTCGGTGATCACAGGAGGAAGGAAATCTTATATAGAAGCATCTCTGTTTGGACTTTTATATTATCATCACTTATAATATTCACTATTATTTATTAATTAGTATTTTATGTTATTGAAGTTTCATGATTTGTAGCGCTGCACTTTTTTATTTTATTAATAATTACCTTATTGCTCACTCCCACAGGTCTCCTCTGTACTATATGACCAGTTCCCCAAGCCGCATCTCTTTGCCCCTCGGCTGATAGCATGTTTCCTGAAGTCATCACTTACAATGCAGGACCAGCAGTCCTGGGGTCTAAGAATATGCATGCATCATACATACAAGGGGAGTACAACTGGGGGAATCAGTGGTGGAGAAGGATCTGGGGGTTCTGGTAGATCACAAGCTTAATAATGGCATGCAATGCCAAGCTGCGGTTTCTAAAGCGAGCAAAATCCTCTCTTGTATTAAAAGAGGTATAGACTCCAGAGAGAGAGATATCATATTACCCCTGTACAAATCATTAGTAAGACCTCATCTGGAATATGCAGTTCAGTTTTTGGGCACCAATTCACAAAAAGAACATTGGGGAACTAGAGAAAGTACAGAGAAGGGCAACCAAACTGATACGAGGCATGGAGGAGCTCAGCTATGAGGAAAGATTAGAGGAACTAAAGTTATTCTCTCTTGAGAAGAGGAGATTAAGGGAGGATATGATCAACATGTATAAATACATCAGTGGTTCACATAGTGAACTCGGTGTAGAGCTATTCACCCCTGTGGTCATCACAGAGGACAAGGGGGCACTCTTTATGTCTGGAGGAAAAGAAATGTAATTTCCAAACACGGAAAGGTTTCTTCACAGTGAGAGCTGTGAAAATGTGGAATAGACTCCCTTAAGAGTTGGTTCTGGCCAGCTCAGTGGATTGCTTTAAAAAGGCCTGGATTATTTCTTAGATACACAGAATATAACTGGATACTAACATTTATAGGTAAAGTTGATCCAGGGAATATCCGATTGCCTCTCGAGGAATAAGGAAGGAATTTTTTTCCCAGCAGGAGCAAATTGGATCATGCTTTGGTGGGATTTTTTTGCCTTCCTCTGGATCAACTGTGGGTATAGGATTATAACTTTTTTTTTTTTTTTTATATGGCTGAACTGGATGGACTTTTGTCTTTTTTCAGCCAGACTAACTATATGTAACTATGTATGTAGCAGTGAGGACTGTATGTGAGGATGGTGAGGACCTGCTTACAACTCAGAGAAAGAGTACTGGCTGCTGGGCATGTAGGGAGTAGGATAACTATAGATATTCCTCTAAGGAGCTTTGAGATCCCTGCAGGTGTCTTGCCATTGCCCCTTTTTCCTACAAAGTGTGATTTTCTGCTTTTGCTTACAGTGGATAGGCTAAGTTACTGAGCTAAAGGGGACTTCACATGAAAAATCAAAGTCCAATTCGAGGACAACCATCACCCCTCAAATGAAAAGCTAAAAATAAGCTGTCCAAAATAAAAAAGTTTTGACTTTACATACACTTTATTTAATTACCTATTCATATAGGTAGATGGAAAGCGGTGCTGGTGAACATAGCTATTTCCAGAAATAAACTAACTATTGTTTCAAAGACTCTCATTTAATTTTGAAATATCAAATCAGTTTTACTAATAACAGCTGATCAGACAATATTGAAATACAAAATAACGCTTATCTGATACACATCATAGAAACATTAACAGCAACCAAGAAATCATAGAAGCAAAGCAAGCACACTAGGAAAAGGTCCTTGGATTCAGGTCACTAACAATCTACAGTTAATCTTCTAATTAATGGATTATCGTTTTTAGACAAACCTCTTTAACTAATCCAGCCATGAAAGCTTGATGTTCCAACACACAAATAGTAACATTTGAGTAAATATATTTTTCATTGCATGTATTTAGGAAAAGGAAATGAGTGGCTAGATTTTATGGGATAAAGATCAATGTGATTAGTCAAGAAAGATATCTGTTCTGCTTCTTTAATCATCTCAGCACAAAGCAAGTTTAAGAATCATTTGGTTATACTTTGCTCCAGTTTTACTGCCCTAAATTTGATGTTTCTAGCTGCTTTGTGGGTTCCTTATTATGTAATACAATCTACATTGTGGTTTGCAAGCTTTTGAATTTCAATGTGACAAAAAATGGAACAAGATTCTGACTTCCCATGTGTGCTGCTTTGATCTGACGTTTCTTCGAAATGAAATGATTATGAAACAGGGGCGGACTGACCATTTGAAAACTCAGGCACTGCCTGAGGGCCCGGGGTCAGTAGGGGGCCCCATGAGATGCCCCTGGTACCTTTATCATAGGCTTTTTTGAGAGTTTGGGCAAGGACACAGGGGCCCCATGATCCCCTATTGCCCGGGGGCCCCATGAGTTGTCAGTCCACCCTTGTTATGAAATCAGTAGGTCAACAGTAGATCAGGAGGTAGTATACGTTCTGTTGAGGAAAAAACTATTGTGCCATCATTTGTTTAGTTTCTTGAAACAAAATCTAGCATGTTTGGATCAGGCACTTTTGATTGCGACAAGAAAATCATGTGTCACAGCTGGCACACTAATGATGCGAAAAATGTACGACCAAGAATTTTCATTCAGTTTTCGACTTGCTAATGGTATGCCTAAATTTATAGCTGATATCCAGTTTTAACAGTTTTAATAGAAATAACAGAGTAGTTGCGCTGAGCTCCTTCTACTTACTGATCTACAATACTCTGTATTTACAGTATACGTTACTCCAACATTTCATTTCCATAATGTGTCTGTTGTACCAGGGGCAGACTGACCATCTGGAAACTCGGGTACTGCCCGAGGGCCCGGGGTCAGTAGGGGGCCCCATGAGATGCCCCTGGTACCTTTTTCATAGGCTTTTTTGAGTTTGGGCAAGGACACAGGGGCCCCATGATCCCCTATTGCCCGGGGGCCCCATGAGTTGTCATTACCGCCCCTGTGTTGTACCATGTACTTATATGAAAAAGTGTTTTCTTTGCATTTCTTCCTTTGTGTGAAATACACAGTGATCCTACCAGTTCCCCTGCTTTCCTATTTCAAAATGACCACGCCAGGAGTAGAAGCACATCCATCTCAATATGTTCATTCTTTGGCTGTGCTGGAAGAACAGCTTGCCTGTCGTTCAATGGTCAAGACTTGTGCTGATGCACCCTCCTACACAGCTGTTCACTGGGAAGATCAGTGTACTGCTCTTTTTCTGCTTCCTGTTGATACCCATCCCTGCAGTCTCCACCCCATCCCTGCAGTCTCCACCCCAGCTCTCTAAGACCCTTCTGCCCCTTTTTTAATATATATATATATATAGTTTACAAAATATTTTGCCTCTATTTTAACCACTTGCCTACCGGGCACTTATACCCCCTTCCTTACCAGGCCAATTTTCAGCTTTCAGCGCTGTCGCACTTTGAATGACAATTGCGCGGTCATGCAACATTGTACTCAGATGAAATTTTTATAATAATTTTTTTCTCACAAATATTTTTTTTGGTGGTATTTACTCACCACTGGGTATTTTATTTTTTTGCGCTATAAACAAAAAAGAGCAAAAAATTTGAAAAAAAAAAAAGTTTCTTTGTTTCTATTATAAAATTTAGCAAACAGGTAATTTTTCTCCTTCGCTGATGTGTGTTGATGAGGCTGCACTGATAGGCAGCACTGATGGGCACTGATAGGCAGCACTGATGGCAGCACTGATAGGCAGCACTAATGAGGTGGCACGGATAGGCGGCACTGATAGGTGGCACTGATAGGCGGCACTGATGAGTTGGCACTGATAGTGGGTACTGACTGGCGGTACTGATAGGCGGCACTGACTGGAGGCACTGCTGGGCACTGACTGGTGGCACTGCTGGGCGGCACTAACTGGGGGCACTGCTGGGCTGCATCGATGGGCACTGGTGGGTGGCACTGGTGGGTGGCACAGGTGGGTGGCACTGCTGGGCATTTGTGGGCGGCACTGTTGGGCACTTGTGGGTGGAACTGGTGGGTGGCACTGCTGGCCACCAATCATCAGGGCACTGATCATGGGTGCACGCCCCCAGTGGCGCGCAGGAGAGAGTGTTCTGGGAGGACGTCATATGACGCCCTCCTAGAACTGGCTGGCCGCTGTGCAGCCATCATTAGGCTACCTGCGGACAGCAACTGGTTAAACTGAATGGGTAGTTTTATAAGGTGAGGGTTCACATATAATTTAATACTAGAAAGTCACATAAAAAAATATTTTAAAGTATTTTGCAAAATATAAAATGGCATAAATTATGCAGACTGTCTCTAGTATTTACACAACATTGTTAATGCTAATGGAAGCATAATTGTAATACCTAGTGAACCTGCCAATAGATCCTTTTATTTCCACTTTTTTTTTTTTTCTGTTTCAATATATTTATTAGAAAGAAATTTTTTGAACAATATAACAGGCTCATGATATGTCCACACAGGGGCAGAGCTGAGCAAACGCATACAAAAGCAGATACAGACCAGTAGTATGCATTAATCAGTCAACGCAATATCAATCATAACTAAAGAGGATCGGCAGGAAAATCAAAATGAATGATATCAACGTCACTCAGCTGTCCTTTCTAAAGCAAAGATCCCTACTGAGAAGTATCAACACGGAGAAAAGAAAAAGAGAAAGACATAGATTAAAAAAGAAAGAAAGAAAAATATAGGAAGATGGAGAGGAACAAAAGAAAAAGGAAAAGTCAGGGAAGAAAAGAAATCACGGATCCAGG